ACAGGTGATACATTCAACCCTGATCAAATCTGCATCCCTCACTTTTGTGCATTTTTTGCAAGACATGACATTAATTAGATGTGTGTATGAATATCCACCAATCAAGTGCCTTTCTGTTCACCGCAGCCAATCATTGCCTCCGTCTCCCTCGACTGTGGTTAATCTTCATTTTTATCTTCCGCCTGATTTCTGAGTAATGGTTCAAACTGTTTATTCATCGAGTTTTCAGACAATTGATAAGGTTGTAAAGCTCTTCTTTACCAGAAGGGAGCAGCAGTGAGTAGTTGGTTCAATTCTCATGAGTCTGATGTGTCTGTCTGTGTTTCTGTGTTATACTGTTGGACTGTACCAGCTGTACCTGGGAGTACATCACATCCTAGTACATCGTGTTTTCAGGAGATAATCACAGGACATAATCACAGGAGATAATCACAGGAGATAATCACAGGAGATAATCACAGGAGATAATCACAGGAGATAATCACAGGAGATAATCACAGGAGATAATCACAGGACATAATCATAGGACATAATCACAGGACATAATCACAGGACATAATCACAGGACATAATCACAGGACATAATCACAGGACATAATCACAGGGGATAATCACGGGGGATAATCACAGGAGATAATCACAGGAGATAATCACAGGAGATAATCACAGGAGATAATCACAGGAGATAATCACAGGAGATAATCACAGGAGATAATCACAGGAGATAATCACAGGACATAATCATAGGACATAATCACAGGACATAATCACAGGGGATAATCACGGGGGATAATCACAGGAGATAATCACAGGACATAATCATAGGACATAATCACAGGACATAATCACAGGAGATAATCACAGGACATAATCATGTGTAGCTCCTGACCGTTCATTAACAGTTGTTGTTCCAGGGTCGTAGCGACACGTTTAATGCACTTTTTTGTGTAGCTCACAGCACTTCTCACGGCTGCACAAAGGGAATAGAAAAAGGGAAGGAGGCGATAGGTAAACAGAGCCATTAGAGACAAATCTATTTCTGAAGAAAACAAAATCACATCATCAAACAAGAGAAAAAGAAAAATATGATCCTCAGCCCTGTGGGCCCTGGTGGAGCACTGATAGGGGACTTTGGCATTTGTCTTTATCAGTCTGCCTTAAGGGAGAGAGGGCGCAGTGGAAATGTGTGAGAGAATAAAAAGAGAAGGAGAAAAACAATAGGACCAAAGAAAACCTTTCCCTTCTTTTTTTTTCTTGGTAAAATTATGAAAAGACTTTAGGTTTATGTTCAGCTAGTTAACGACTCCAGTATTTTACAGTTTCCTGATTGTACACACATCTCAGATGGTGGTTCTTTAAATATAGCAGAGTGAAGGGTTGGGTGGACGGGGGCTGCAGCGTCATCACTCATCACCTGCCTGGGGAGGGACGCACAGCTTCATCAAAATGACACCATTGACTTTACGGATTTTATCCTTTCTCTGTGACATTTCGTTCTTTCACTTGTCATGGAGTAACAGTACACAGTACACAGTACACAGTACACAGTACAAAATATGACGGAATAAAGTCCACCTGGTGGGAGGGTGGTTAGTGCTACGTTCACCATGTTCCATGACCATGTTCACTGGTCACCAGGTGTGGCGCTGCTATGAACTGTAGAACTCTGTTGCCCCGCCCATTTCCAGTGACAAGTGGGAGTGTCTTTAGCGCCACCTGCCTGTCTTAAAACAAACACCAACTGCTCCTGTATGTAAACCTTTACATTTCAATCATCACAGCAGAACACCACAGAAGTTTGTTCTAGATATTTGCTTCTTTAATAAAGGTTTAAACAAATCCACCGTCTTTTCATGTGTAAGAAGAGACGGTAGTGTTCCTTGATCCTCGGTGCATGTTTTTATAATTGGTGTCCACGTGTACTTGGTCCTGCTGTCAGTTGACCTCACTGACCTTTCATGGCTCTGTTCTGTGAAGCAGCTTTTCAGCCTCAGATGGACAGGATTTCCATCTGAGGATTAATCACCTCCAAAGGGATGCGTGTGTTTGCCCTCCGTCCTGGCAGAGCTGCACCGTTGCTGGTTGGCCTGTTGTCATAGTCCATGCCAAGTCCTTACAGATGCTTCATCATTTTCTTTTCCCAGCACAACTCATTTTTTTACTCTTTTTTTTATTGGTTGCTCTCTGAAGATGTTTCTGGGCCAAAGCCAGGCTCAGAGCTGTTTAGTGGCTCGGCTGTGTCATTTTCTTTTCTATTCCTTCTGTTTAATGTGAGTTCCTGAGGGAAATCTGCTTTTCTATCTGATGTCTTCTTTGTCCGCTGACCACTTTTTATTACTGCCAAGCAGTCGTCACTTTAATATATGCACACGTACCACTACAGTAGAAATGTGGGAATTGATCAAATATGAAAACATGTACCGATAAGTAATCACATGGAAGTGTAAAAATTTCAGGGCAGTAAAAATGTACATTTCAAACATCTGATCAATGTGCAGCAGAAGGCAGGGTGTGGGATATTTGGCTGCAGAATCCACTTAAAGCGAAGCCAAATGCTCTTTGAGTGAAATGACAACAGTCGTTGGAGCTGGCGAGCTGTTCGCCATCTGTACTCAAGAGTCGTAAATCGGACGCAAGTATAAAAATCCCAGTGATTTTACATGAAGCCGAGGTTTCCTCCGACCACCGGGCTCTTCCTCAAGGTGAGGTCCATATATGGAGTGTTGGAGTCCACAGATGAGGATCGTAATCGTCCTTATCAGTGTCATCATCCTGCTCTGTTCGTCTTACAGCCAGATCAGGATTCACATTTCTACACTCCAAAGTTCTTCAACAGCAGAATTGTCAAGCGGTGAAATAATGCTGACGGACGCAGCGGTGACGGGTGAGCTCCTGGTTTAGCTCTGTGAGTTTGAATAATGAGTGTCTCCCTCCTCCGCCCCCTCTCCTTCTCTGCCCTTTGCTTCAGGTCAGAACATCACGTTCCCTCCGGTGGCTCTGTGGGTGACTGTTGGCCTGGCCGTGTGTCTGCTGCTGCTGCTCGTCGCCCTCGCTGCCGTCTGTCGTAGGAAGATCAAGGAGAGCTGCGAGGAGGCCAGAAGAGAAGGTAGAGGAAACACTTAAACATATTTGACTAATGATCAAGGGTTTTAATATACAGCAGTGATAAACAGGTGGCCCGCGGGCCAAATCCAGCCCACCAAACCATCCAATCTGGCAGACAGCTGGATTCCAAAAATAATGTTGGCTGAAAATGTGATTTTTATTTCATTGTATTTGAGCTCAAGGCTCCAGAGGTTTGGAAAGATTCTCGCCGACAAAATATAGTTTGTGAGCCCAGATCTGCAGCATTTATTGTTGAAGCCAAGATCACCTTCATCTGTAACCAGAGGTTTGACATTAACCTTCAAACAAAAATGTCAGTGACACTCAGGTCCATTCATCGTCGTCTACTGATTCTGACTCTTGTAGTGTTGTCATGTCATTTTGTTCCATTTTCTTTCAAATCTTTTGTTTGGACTGAAGATCAACAGTTACTTTGATTTTCCCTGGATATAAAACCACCTCAGGAATATGAACTCACTTTCCAGTTCTTGGCCTTAATTAAAAAAAAAAAAAAAAAATCTTCAGAGTCAAATTTCAGTGTCCGTCTCGTCCATCAAACAGACTAAACATGGGCGTTTACAGTAATTAAATATTTAAATGAGTTCATCAGTCAGTTTTATGGGCAGTTAACGGGTGATCCAGAGAAAAGTGTGGGTTTAAATGTGTGTTGATCCAGAAACATTAACCTTCATCCAAAATGGCCTCCTCACTGCTAGAAATACAGATAAAAAGAACCAGCGTCTACTGAAGGGACGACGTTTCTGTGTTGATCAAATACGCGCTCCTGTGTCAGTGAGTGGACGTTGGATGAGGGGTCAGTCTCTCCCAGGGCCGCGGTGACGTTACACCAGACTAACTCCACCAGGTGGAGACAGACGTGGCCTAAAGCACAGAAAAGAAAAGGCCTTTTCTATAATGTCTCCATAAATTTGAAGCCTGGAATTGTCCAGGATGTCTGTGTGAGCTGCTGCATTAAGATTTACTGAAAATGAAGGGATGGGGGGGGGGGGGGGGGGCCCCCTGGGTAAAGGGCAGGATAAAAAAATG